ATTCTATTTTATTCTTATAATGGTTAATATTTTAAATGTTTTGGTATAAAATATTTTTTTCATATTTTCATTCGATTCTTGTAATTGCTAGAAATATGTTAATGGATTGTAACATAAATTTGGCCTCGAGATAGTCGAGATAGTTGAACGTTGTTCAGCTTATCGCCTTAAGCAAGATTCTACCTCCGACAGGAGGAGGTTAACTAAAAGTCAAAAAATCCAGGCGACGAAGTGATCAATCACCTGGCAAAAACTGCTTATCATATAACTGCCAATACTGCGATCCTAAAAAGAAATGGATGATCACTTATATACATATTAAATCCCTTATCATCGAGATTTGGTCTCAATTCTAATAGTAGTTGTTTGTTAGTTTAAATTTTCAAATTTTCGTAGTTTTCGAGAATGCTTCGAATTTTCAAATTCTGTGATAAAAAATCAATCACCGTTTTTGCTTAGGCAGCTCCGCAGTTTGTTAGATTTTTTGGTCAGGGGGTCAGTGATAGCAGTGGAGATAATTCGCACTCAGATTTTTCAGTGACTGACTGTCTCTTTTCAAAAATGCGACAGTCTGGGTCACCATCCATTCGGCTGTCCTGCATTTGGAAATACACGGTTTATTTCGATTTATCCAATTACTTTAGGCCAAAAAACTCGAAATAATTTTACTTGCTATTATTATGATCAGTAAGAAATAGTTTAGTAGTGATTGTACAATATAAAATGTTAGAGAATTTTTGTTGAAATAAGCGATCGTGCACCAGTATTTAAGACGAATTGAAGGAATGTTTTGTTTGCATTTTAGTATCGAAGCAAACAAATTTCTCTGCGACATTATCATCGTTTCATTCTTAACCTCTTAAATATAAATAAATTATATACATTATATGGCTTACGCAAGTAATTACTACAGCTACCAGGTATTATTGTTCTTTTTTTATTTATCATTATTATCACTTAAATGCTCTTTAACAACAATAAAATGTTTAGCTTTTTGTGTTAATTTAGAATGGTGAACTCACTACTATAATATGTTATCGAGCTCTTCTTTGATACTTTATGGCCTAATGAGTGGTTGTAAGGCTTAGTTGCATAGTCGCATAAGTAGTTTAGTTTTTTACTTGAGTTAGCCAGCTTTCTTCCCATCATTTTTTCATATTTTGTTGGCATTTTTGTGTTTTTTTCAATTTGGTATTTGATATATTTGCTTTGTAGTTTTTATCAGCTGAACAACCGAAATGTCAATTAGATTCTTTCATCTGTGAAGGTTAAGAAAAAATGAAATGAACAAAAAACAAATTTTAGGTTGGTGTTATTTTTGCGATATTAATTGGTGGTCTTTTGCTACTCGTTATATTTGCTGCTGTTATATATTTCGCATGCGTTAACACTGTAAGTGATCACATTTTTCTTAAAGGCTTCTCTTTTTTCCTGCCATTAATCACCATTTTTGACTCCAATGTCAGAAATAAGCAATCCAACACTTATGACTTGAATTTGGTCGCTCCATTCGTTTTGTTAGTATTCCGCGACGAGAACATAAATGTTTCGCCGACGGAAATAACGCATTTTTAGTTACGTCATTCGGGTTGTGATTTCATCTTTTTCCATTTGGGACTGGAGTGGATCCAAGATCTAAAGTCTAAAGTCTGGCACTTCCCCGGTGATGAATTGATAAATTGATAAAAGTAGGTATTTTGTCAGCTTTTGATGAATTGATAAAAGTAGGTATTTTGTCAGCTTTTGGTATATAAGACGAAAAGGCTTTCATCTTATTTACAGTCCAATTTTTATTGCAGTTGTCAATATACTATCAGCAAAAAAAGGCTACACCATTAACTTATTTAAGATTTGTGTTACTATGCTCTGGACTGATTTATACACCTCTTGAATGCCAATAAGCGATTTCCATTACCAATCTATCGCGTAGTTGAATATTGCAAACATTGACGGACCAGTTCTTATTCGTCCCCGTATATACAGGCGTGTACCCATGTTCACTCGTAAAACACTTTTATAAGTTGAATGATCTTCTCTGGAACACCGTCACATTCCATCAATCTTCAAAGCGCTGTGTTCTATAAGTTGAATTGTAGGTATTTGCAAAATCGAAAAAAACAAGTGACGATGGGTTGCCGATATTTCAAGCGATATTCCAACATCCTTCTTAATGTGAATATGTGATCAGCTTAATCGCATCCCAGTTTGAATCCAGCTTGGTTAGGGTGCACCTGCTGTTTCATACTGCCATAAGTCTGTAGAAGAAAGCGAAAACTTTCTTGAAGATATCTAAGCTGACTTCACGATAATTATATCGCACTTTGCCTTGTTAACTTTTTTGAGAATTGGGAACAGAATTGCTTTTCTGCAGTCATCTGGTATTATTTTTTTGTTTCATGTTTTATTTTTTGATGATGAAGGACGATGGATAACATTTAAAGATTTCGGCTTGAAAACCTTCTCTGGGAATTTTGTTGGTCTTAATCATCTGGATGACAGAGGTTATTCCCTGTCCTGCTGGAGACCCAAGCAACATTCCAATCAGATTGCTTATATCTTTGTTAGCCATCGTTGCTTATATCTTTGAAAGAGTTTCGCACTAGACAGTTCCTATCGTAGCGATGGAGCAGGGAAATTTCATGGATTAAACTATGTTGTGGTTCGAGCCAAGATCCTCATAAAATTGATAACTCGCAAGAAACAATGCCTCCCAAGATATTTCAAACAAAACCAAACTAAAAGATTCGAGGAAATTTCAAACCCAATTATTGAAGAATCTTAGTGAAATGAACATCAGTGACATTTCTGGAATGGTGAATGGATATCCCAATTGAAGGCATGTTTCCGAAAGTTAGCCACTTTCACACTAGAATATGCTATTAGGAAATGCGCTAGTTGGGTAACAGAAGGAATTGTCGAACTGTCTGAAAAGGATGCTAGGAAAATCTAGCTATCGAATGAAGAAATATAAGCTTGGCGGGTCAAACTATTGGAGCGATACAGCCTTGAAGAAGAGACTGCTCGATTAGGCGATAATAATAAACTATTCCGTCTTTTTCATAAAGTAATATAATTCAAGGAAAGGATAGTGAAAAGAGATGGGATAGTAATAATTGTTTGTTAAGGATCGCTTTGTAAGGTGGAGGGAATTTTTTAAGGTCAGACTTAACCACTATGTAGGTTTCGGCACTCGCTCCTCAAGTCATATGTTTATAATTGTTTGCAATTACATCCCAGAGAGTTCCACAAGATTAGATGTTTTCGATGTTGGAAGCATGTATTAATAACAATAAATTCATGCTCTTCGGCAAAGCGAAGGCGTTTTCCATTGGCTCGTTGTATCTGTGCCAATTATTTGCCAATTATTGAAATCACCGTGCGATCTACGCCCTTATTCCAGTCTTCCCTGATTATGGCCATGTCATCTTTCGATAGAAATGTTGTTAGTAATTGGACTTCTGAATAAAACTAATCCTTGTCAGGATCATCTGCGCATAAAGTTGGAATATATACAATGATGACCGAAATATTGCAGAACTTTCCTTTGAAGCGAGCATAGGTCATATAGTGAAGGCACCGGTTTCCATTCCACTCAGTCAGAGCAGACCGAACTTTTTCAGATAAGATAATCGCCACGCCATTCCGGCTCGAATTATCTGTAACCAGCACCCCTGCTTGAAGCCCATTTTAATAATTGCTCGGGACCTGAAGTGAAAAAGACGAAGAAGCAGGCAATATCCACAAAATATTCAGAAAGAGTGTGGACAGCAATCGCTTGGTTTGCAATGTCCATAATTGTTCTGACGTTTCATGATGCTATGGCTAACAACTCTTCGCGTACCGTTTCCCTTGACAGGTATTGATTTACTACTTACTCTGGCTCGAGAGCAGATATTTTCAGGCCTTAAGGTCATTTGACTACGCCTGCATATCGCATTCTAGATTGCATACATATCGCATATCGCATGAAACCACCAGGAGTATTATACGCGTCGGAGATAATGCGGATACCGTGTTATAAAAATCCTAATCTAGAATTACTTGGGGATATAGTTACATGTGGTTTCCCATGGATACATCATCGACAGACAATTAAAGTTTTTAAGGTAGTATTGTGAGATTCTACCAATGGTTCGAGAAAACCGAACCGAGGCATTGATTACAGTGCTACTAAATCCATCGAAACAAGGATCTACCATATTTTAAATGCGAAATTGTACAAAAGAGCTCTAGAAACAGTCCAACGCATAGTGGCAGGATGTAAAATGCAAGCAGGAACAATATATTGAAAGGCATAACCAAGTAACTGGCATCGTCTAAAAGAATATCTGCTTGGAATATAGCTTAGACCCTCCCAAGACCAAATGGGAGATTCCTAAGAAAATCATAAAGAATAATAAGATATCTTGGAACTTCTCCATTCAGATAAATAAGTGTTGGCCGATTAACCAGATATCGTAGTAGACATGAATCGAAATCATCACTGATGATTGATATAGAAGTGCCACATGATAGAAACTTCAAAAAAAAGGAAATTAGAGAAATACCAAGGGCTAAAAAGGAACTAGAAATGTGGAAAATAAAAGGCCAAAGTAATCCAATGGAATGATCTAATTGGAGCACTTGGAATGGTGATCTCTAAATTAGAAAAATGGCCTTAGCAGATTCCAGGAACGACATCAGATCCCTATCCAGAAGAGCACACTATTAGGAAAAGCTAAGATGCTGGGTACAACCCTCAATCTCCCAGGCCTCTGGTAGAAGACCCCGGGTTGAGAGTGACCATGACCACCCACAAGCAGAGAGAAAGAAATTTTTGCTTTTTTTTTATAATTTGGAATTTATTTTTCTTTATTTTAAAATTTAAAAGAACTTAGTTTAATTGTATACAGAAAATTTTAAAGTTCCAGAAATATCATAATAAGCATAGTAAAAAAGAAAAAACTGCCTGAGAAATTTTTCAATTTCCAATCGCAAGAAAGTAAAATGGAATACTTTAGATGAGACATGACAAAAAACGACGTTACGTGGCATCAGGCATGGTTCGAGCAGAAGTGCCACGAGAATGGCAACCTCAGCATCTGCCATATAGTCAACCAATCCCAAGTCAAACTACAGAGTGAGCTATCCAACACCATTCCTTCAAATCTCAGAGCATTTTTTAGAAACCTGCGGATTGAACGAGTGCTGCAGTTGACAGATCTCGAGCATTCAATTTCTCTCAAATGGCTCTCTGGTTTAAAGTCTTATAAAAATGATAGCACTATTAGAAGTTATCGGGAAATTTTAAAAATAAGAAACTATAAAAAACAAGTCAATTTTGTATTTGCGATTCATTCTAAATTTTTAAAATTTAAGATTGTCTGAGCAACCACCCGTTCAAAAACCCATTTCATTTCAACGGACTTCATTTCAAACATATCCACAGCAACTCGTTGTGGTAAGTTTCAACTTCTGCTGCGTCAATAATCCTTAATTTATCTTTATCATCGAGAAAATTCGTTGAAGAATATAAATCCAACAACCTCCAACAACCTTAGCCGTAGCCGATAAGAAAAAAATATTCATTTCAGGGGCCAAGAGCATGGAAAGTTGCTACTCCTCCCAAAGATTATCAAACATCCTCAGTATGAAATGAAGAAATTATTTTTATTCAGAATTTTCGCATTCAACAATGTTTCAAATTAATAATATTGTATAAATCGATAAAATTTGTTTAAATTATCTCCTTGTAAATAAAATTTCCTTTTACAAAAATTGCTATTGCGATTATTTTCTCCGCTTTTACGATATTTTTCACACCTCGATTTAAATGCGATAAAAAGCAAAAAGATATTTTGCGAGAATAGACTGAGATATGCCTTCATTTGCAATATATTTTGTGTAAGCACTTTTACTAATAACTAAATTCTTATTTGATAAAAATTTGATATGAAAAACACAAAATGGTGCATTTATGACAGCATTGTTATTTCAAATTCCATCGAAATGGAAAAAAAGAACCGTGTTATTTATCATTTTCATGTTTTTTTAAAGCTAATTATATTTAAAGTTCCAAAAATACAAAAAACATTCTAAATTAAAAATTTTTAGGAGACTAATATGACGATAGAGTTTACGAATTTTTAATAAAAATTTTAAATTTTTATAAAATCAGCTTTAATAAAATTTTCAAATTTTGATCGACGGATATAAGACAGCTGAAAAGAAATTACTTATAATAACAGGAATAAATGCAAGTTCATTTCTCGTCAAATTATCACTGTTTTTATTGTTTTTGCGCAAATTATTCATAACAATTAATACTTTTTCAAGTAAGCCAACATCGTCCCAATTGAAAGATTCATCAACAACTAATAATAATGCATAAATCCATTGATATAGAGCTCTCGAATAACCATTTTCCAGAAAGAACTAAAAATAAGAAACCAAAAACAAGTTTAAAAATATTAGGATGAAACAATATTAAAATAATATTGAAACAATAATATTGAAACAAATATAACGCACGTGGAAGAGATGTTTTAGAATGCTTCGAATTTGAAGAAAATTCAACGTTAAAACAAGGCTCAGCGTTGGCGGATTGCCTTTATGATCTTTAAATAGATTGACATCCTTCACATTTAATGGAATGGAATCGTCTCTAATTTCCATGCAGAATTTACACCAACCTTCATAATCATCCTAAAAATAAGGAATTGAAGGAAATATTTTTATTTATATTTATATTTAAAAATAAATGAATAAATAAAATCGAAAAAATACTTAGAATCTGAACGAAAAAATAATAAAAATAAAAGTGATAGAAATGATTAAATTCATGCAAATTACAGTTAAAAATGCTTTAGTCGCTAAATATCACTAAAAACCTAGTAAAACCAAATACCTTACCAAAACAGGAAATTTTTTTTGCAGCTTTTTGCAGTAAGACCTTAATGATTCTATACGAGCTCGATTTTCCATATATTCATCAAACTAAATGATAATTCACATAAAAAATTGAACAGAACTAATTTTCGTGATTTTTTCAAAGAGTGTGACTAAAAATATTTCTTGGAAGCCTTCGAAACTATTTCACAAAACAAACTGATGCTAGCTGTTGGAACTATTGGAAATATATATGGTTGCTTATTCATATGAGTGAGTGTTGTTTTAATAATTTCAAATCTTTTGATCAGATCAAATGATAATCCTTTATTATTTATAATTTCCCAATCAGCTTAGTGCCTTGAACCGGTGCACCGGTGGCTCAGTGGAGAATTGGCGTCGAGAACCGACTTGGTTTCGAATCGATCGTCATTTTTCGTCGGAAGGCACTTTCGCCTAACGGAAATAAAGGAGAATTGATTGTTAAATTGCTAAATTTCGAAAGCCGATGCTAAGATTCTACTCCTGGCAGAAGTAAACAAAATCCGGGAGATACTGGCGACTCACCTGCACTCTTATCGCCAAAGGACTCCCTAGCATATTTGTTTAGTGCGATAAGCCAGAGGAGCGAGTCTAATCACTAATGACGAGCTTGGGCTTTTAAAAAAAATTATTAGAATTAACTCAATATTCAATAATGCATTAATCCATTGATATGGTGCTCTTCTCTTCTTTTTATCTGGATACAATCTGAATTCAGAATCGGCAAAGCTAGCAGGTAAGAAATTACATAATAATTCAATCCCTCATGTTCTCGCTCCCGTAGACATTAACAGAAATTAGCTGGTATTAATAATTAATACTTAATTTTAATTATCGATGAGAATATTATGACAGCTAAAGAAGGATTAAATGCCAATAATCCTCAAAAATATTTCTGATGCCTTTCTTTCCTGTTTATAAAATTCGCCTCGAATACAATATACTTTGAAAGCTTACAAAAATATTTTTGGCAGTATTTTAATTTTAATTTCAGTTTCTTCAATCAAATTGTATGTCTGAGCATAATTTGCAAGAAAGTTGAACGATTTCTTGAAATTAAAAAAAATATGTACAGAAACTAACAAACAAATAACAAACAAATAATTACAAAAAACAATAACAACAATAACAACAAAAAAATAATACTTACTTTCAATTTGCACCAATTATCATCTAAAGGGTCAGATGTCGAAGCATACAGCTGTTTGGAAGGTTCATCGATGGGCATTTTCGCTGTCACCACTTCGGGCAAACGCCTTCGACTTACTACCACCTAAAGTTATAATTTCATTCATAGAATTCATCAAAAAAGACAGCTCCAATAATATTTTTTAGCGAAAGTGCAAAGTATAATCGGGAATCAAAACACCTGACGAAGATAATCAGTGATGGACCGAGGCGGTTCATCTAAATTTACATCTTTTTCATCGAAATCGCCAATGTCAATAAACGCTGCTTGTGACATTTTTTCACGGAAATTAAGTAAAATCGAGCCTGAAATAAATATTACAATTAAAATTTCTTATTACAGAATTCCCTTTTAAATTCCCTTTGTCCACACTTTCTCTAAACACCGCGTGGATGAGGCGTTTGTCACAGATCCGCGTTCCTCATATTGGCTCTCCAATAATTATCAAACTGGCTCTCAGCAAAGATATTGGTTATATCACTGTGATGTCTCGATAGCTCGGAGCGAAATGATGTAGCGATTGTCATGTCTGAAAAGGCTCGATCAACTCTGATTGAATGGAAGCCAGTAAATGGCCATATAGTCTACGTGCGTTTCAAAGGAAAGTTTTGCAATAGTTCGGTCATCAGTATAAATGCTGCAACTTTATGCGCAGATGATCATGACAGGAACAAGTGCTATGCGAAACTCCAACTATACATGGTCATACTTGGGAGAGAATGGAATGCATGCATAGGTCATGATGACGTTTCGATGACTCGGCAATGGCAAATATGGCATAAGAAGCCAATGCGCCAATGGAGAACGCCTTCTTCCTTTTGTTGAACAGCATGAATTCTTTGTTATTAATACATGCTTTCTGCATTGGAGAAGACATCTTGTCACGTGGAATTCTCTGGACAACCAATATTCCAATCAGATTGACTATATATTGGTCAGTTACCGCTGGAAGAGTTCTGTACTTGATGGGCGTTCTTATCAAGATGCTGAAACTGGTAATTGCCATGGATCAAATCATGTTTTTGTTCGAGCCAAGATTCGTGTAAAATTGTAATAGCGTATTCCAAGATCTTTCAACTGTCTCAAATTAAAAGATCCGGCAATGTTAAGGGCATTTCAAACCGCATTATTGAAATACCTCAATGAAATGAACGTCAATAACATCTTTGGAAAGGCGAATGAATACTGGTCCCAACTAAAGACATATCTACAAAAGTCAACCACTTCCAGACTAGGATATTTTAGTAGGGAGTGCTAGTTAATAACGGAAGTAGTGCCTGAAAAAGCTGTTATAGCCCGAATATCAGGAAATCATGATTATCGAGTTCTTCGAAGAATTACAACGACAGCTGTACGGAATCAAAAATCGCTATTGGAGCGATATGGTCTTGAGAATGGATAAAGCAGAAAGATGATAATAAGAAGCTGTTTCGCCTTCTCTGCAAAACAACTATATAACTCGTAAAAGAGTTAATGAAATAATATGGGATATTAATGGGGCGTCTGTTAAGGCTATTAAGGATAAAATGGAAAAAATTTTTTGAGGTCAAACTGGCCAAACTTAATATCCACGATATGCACATAAAAAACATGATGCGCCATCTGTTATCCATCCCGGATATAAATGATTCGTCGAGCCTTACGTTTACAATTGTGAACCGCCAACATAA